ATATTTTATCCCCTTTCATTTCCAAATTCCATGGCTCCATTTCCAGCTTTTGAAGTTCACTTCTGGGGCAATATTCGGCCTTAAGGAGTTTCTTGAACTCCTCCCACGAAAGTTGGTTGACCGCTTCTCGACCTCTAGTCTGCACCAAGGTATTCCACCAGGTAAGTGCCCTCCCTTGCAACAAACATGCCGCATACTCCACTTTGTTTGCTTCAGAACACTTACTGATATGGAGAACAGATTCCATACTTTCTATCCAAGTCAATAGTCCTACAGCCCCCTTAGTCCCATTGAATTCTTTTGGATTGCAGGATCTGAAGGTTTTGTAAGTGCATTCTCTAGGAGGTCTAGGTTTGGAGTTTGATGGTTGGTTGGCATTCAAGCCAGCAGCCACTTGACTAACTATGTTGGGAAGTGCGGCTAGAAGTTGATCTGACACAAGTCGCGCAATATCGGGATTTTCTCTCCTTGGCGGCATCTCTTTAGATCCTATTGAGAATGGAATTCGTAAATTTTATGGCAATAACAAGGGTGATAGCTTCCTAGTTATATCGATGATACCAAAAATGTCTTCGCATGAAGAATAATCAAACATTGCTACAACCAAACTAGAGAAAACTCGTTCATACAAGGAATTGACATAAATAAGCATTCTTCAAAAGGTATTCATGCATTGATATACGGTGGTAGGTACAAAACTGGATCTCTAGTAACAGCACAAAAGAGTGAGTATCCTATCCTTAATTCTCCTTCTAGAACAACATCCATCCTATGGCTATTCCCAAAATCAACATCATCATACCACAAACTACCAACCATCCATACAACTTCCTAATTTCCCGCCTGTTGCAGCCCCTCTGTTCCTTATTATGCTCTGGTGGTGTGCTTCTATAACATCGGACAGGTTGTTTAGGATGTGATGGTGATATCCCAGTCTGGTCTGGTGCACTTGTGTATCGGATGCAATTCTCCTCACCCAGTCTCTTTCTGCCGAATTCATGCCCCTAGTGCAGGATGCAGGTACCCCGGTTACCACTTGAGTTATTCTGTTTCCCAACCGGGGTCGGGATGACTCCCTTACAACCCTATTAGAGTCTTCAAATGTCACACGCTGTGGTAGTGAGACACTCTTCTTGGGTGTAACCCTGATCCTTGAGCCATGATAAGTTCGTGGTGGAACATCGGGTGCTGGCTCCGCTGGGGGTAAGAAGGATGCTTATGGAGTGGCAGCTGCTTCACTTGTCGCCGTGTCTTGCTCGTACGGGTCTATCTCTTCATTGCAAGCTAAGTTCCTCCTAGAGCGACCAACCACGTAACTGGATTCATCGGCTGAGTATTCACTAGGATCGGAAGACATCGTAGAGATCTGCGACATTAATAATCTTGGTTACTAAAGTGCACCATCTAACAAACGCTTAATGATACAGTGGAAGCTTCTAAACAATACTTAATAGTGACAATCATGCTGGATCCTCTGAACATAGCCTCTGGTTACACTACCAGAGCTTCTAATTGCATGACCAGAGCTTCTGGTCACACTAAAGTCCTTAGAGAAGGATTTCTTATCCTTTGGTTCTCTGACAACTCATTGAAATTCCAATTGTCCTCTGTTGGTTCACATATAAACTTAGAATAATCATAGAATTTTCGTCCATCGATCCTCTGGTTCCTCATAGGGCACTTACCAGAGCTTCTGGTTACAGGACCAGAGCCTCTGGTTCAAGTTCTACACAGAAAAATACTAAGCAATCCATCCATCGATCCTCTGGTTCTTATGCTTGCCCTTACCAGAGCTTCTGGTTGCGAGACCAGAGCCTCTGGTTCAACATCTATACTTAGAGAAATACTNTACGGGTCACTCAAATACACTTTAAAAATACGTTTTATTATGATTAAAGTTACATTGTTTTACAAAGCTCAAACTATAAAATTATTTGAAAATACATTTATTTATCAGTCTTCATCGGTATCCCATGTCGGATTGACTTGAAGAGTTCTAGTCTGTTGAATTCTTCTAATAGCCTCTTCATCTTCAAGGTCATCAATGTCGAGTTCCTCATCATCGTCATATTGGGAGTAAGTGCTCTCGGTATCGGTACTTGGTGGCATGCTTAGTCCCATGGAGATTTCATTTTCTTCAAGATTTTCTTCCACCGTTTCAATTTCCGTCTCTAACGATGTCGTGTGTTGAATCCTATCAACACTATCTAAATAATCCTTCAAGCAAATGCAACACTCCACGGACTCCGGGCTTAGTCTTGTCCGACGTATCGAAATGATCCTGCCACTAAGAGAAAAACCAGACTCCAAAGCTACGGTACTAGCTTGGATTGTTAGTTCATCACGTGCGATGCACGCCAAAATCGGGAATTGAGGTTGTTTTTATTTCCAAAAATCTAATAAATCAATTTTTTTAAAATCTTCAATATCATTTGCGGGACATGCGGCCATAACGTTAGTATGCACATACATATCTAGTTCACCCAAATCGTTATCGTATCGACTTTTTTTACTTGATTCATTTAAAACATCGTTCATTAAATTAGTCATCAACTCTTTACGACTTTGTCGATGACCATTAGAAGAAGAACTAGAACCCGCAAAACCACGTGAGAAAGGTGCTTGTGGTTGGTTTCCTCCTCCGTAAAAATGTTTGTAATGATCAAATAAATCTTGAAAATTGCGATTAAATAAACGTTTTTGTTCCATTGAAAAAGAATTATCCATAGGGGTATCCAAACCAAAAGCCACACATATTTGTGTAATTAAAACTTTAACACCAACAATATTTAAATAGGGGTTTAACGCCGCAACACAAAGAAAAGCAAATGGGCAAAGCAGAAAACATTTGTTGCATTTCGGATTGGGCAATTTTCCACATTTCTATAGCATCACGTCTAAGGGTTTGACGACTTACCGGCTTGTATCGTGGTTGTAGCGTCTTTTGAATCATCTTCGTAACGTAAGGGTTGTCGAAGTGTCCAAAAGGCAAACCGAATTGAATAACACATTGTGTTGTCATTTGTTGGTTCAAATCGGCATCGTAGGACCATATTTGACCTTGGATGTCAAGTATCGGTTGGCTTGAATCGTCCCCCGACCTCAACCCCGGGCACGTTTTTTCTTCTTAACGTAGAATTTCCTTCCGCCGTAAGGAGAGCTTAACACAATTTGCATTGAGTCTTTCATTTTCCGGTCGTGAGAACCACCAAGTTGTAGTGATTCCAAATCTCGGACTTTCGTCTGTGTTCGGCGAGAACTTGGGCAACTTGTTCGTTTGATGGTTGTTCACCAACCATTTCGTAAATCGTAAGTAAAAGAGAGAAATAAACGAGAATTGTGAAGTGTAAACGAGAAATTAATACGTAACGAATTCACAAAATGGAGCAAAAAACTGAGAATTGAGAGCGTTTTTTTTGCGTTTTTGAAGATGAGATGAGTTGGTAACAAACTAGAAAACTCCCATCTCTATTTATACTCATTTGGTAGCTTAGAAGATGAAAAAAAGGGTCAAAATTCGTCCCTAACGACTATATTGACTATTCCTAACGGCTATATTGACCTCTAACAACTACTTTGACCAGATTTGACTTTCGTTGAATTTGTTGACCGAGCCGGGCCGGTCCTATAACAAGAACCGGTCTTAACGGGGACCGGTCCTAGAAAACGATAAAAACACTAACCGGTTCATAATCGACGGTCCACGACCGGTCCCTACCGGTCTCAGTTGGTTCCGGTCCCTCTTCGGTTCCGGTTTTGGTCCTCCGACGATTACGGACCGGGCCCATTTGGCCATCTCTAGGTCACACACTTACGCACCGCGCACTATGTGGTGCATAAAGGCCCCACATGCGTTTAAAAAATGTTTTTTTTTAAAATTATTTTTTTAAGATATAATCTTTTTTCTTAATTTTTTTTAAATTTAATTTTTTTAGAAATTTAACTTTTTTGGAAATACAATTTTTTGGTTTAGAAATTTAATGTTTTTAAGAAAATTTAGGAAAAAAATTTAAATTTTTGAACAAAAATTAAATTAAAAAAAATCAAAAGTTATAAAATTTAAATTTCTAAAAAAAATTAAATTTTGAATAGTGTTGTATTAGGAAAGAGGAAATTGAATACTAAAATTAATAAAACATTAACGGGGTTGATATCCCCACCCCCCGCCATGCTTTCTACCCCCTTGTGGTTTGTTCCCCCTCGCACACAATCATCGCTCCCCTCACATACCTCTCATCATACCATTCACTTATAAAAATTTAAAAATTTAAATTTGCACTTTATACCAATATAATTAGTTAATTAATTTACTTTACGTCCCTCCCTTTTAAATTTTTTATTTTATACCTTGATCAAATTAACATACGTAATCGTATATCAATTAAAATATGTTTAAAAAATACGTTTTAATTTTAACAAGTTACACTATTATAATTGTCTCATCAATACTTTCGAAATGAGCCCAATATTGAATATTTTTTGACTTAATTATATTGTATACTATGAAAAAAATATTTTTAATATTTACGCTTATAGTTATTTATTTAATTTATGATATCCATTTATTTTTTCAATTTTCGTTTTACATCATTATCACATTAAAATACATAATTTTATATTAATTAAAATACGTTTTAACATGTCACGTTAAATTCTATCTCATATACATCAAGCAACATATCACATTATGAACAATAATATCGATATTTTGTACAAAATACGTTAGGAAAATACGTTTTCACATGTGTACCCGTTTACATAATTGTAAAAATAATCTGATTTGAAATAAAGTAAAGTTACTGATTTGAAATAAAGTAAAATTATTGATTTGAAATAAAGTAAAGTTATTGATTTGAAATAAAGTAAAAAAAATTGATATATATATCGAACGAACGAATGAATCGTTCTTTCGATATTTCACAAGATTATATAACTCTCTAATGTAACTCTCCCATTCTTCTTCAATATATAACTCTCTCATTCTTCAATATACATCAAATATGGAAGACGATTTGACAACAGCACTAGAATTTTTCACCAACGAGGTACAATATTATGTTAATTGATATGTAGGTTTATTAATAATTACTTGTACAAATGAAAGTTATAATATATTTCCAGGTGTTTAATTCTCCGAAAGAAATAACTGAGTGGGTGCACAATGTGGGACGTTCAGTTAATTATGTTGTTGTTAGGAAAAGATTAAAGGCAGAGCCAAATGAGAATGTCTATAAAGTCGTGTTTATGTGTGAACACGACGGAGTTTACAAAAATAAAACAATTCCCATTTGTCATACGGGAACAAAAAAGTTTGGATGCCCATTTGAGTTGATAGCGCTATTTTCGGCTAAACATAGTTGGTGGACGTTGACGGTGGTAAGCGATGCACATAATCATGTTCTTGAACAATATATGGAGGGTCATGCATATGCAATGCGGCTGAATGAAACTGAAGCTCAACTAGTTGAAGATCTATCAGCCCAACATGTTAAGCCACGATACATCTTATCCACGTTAAAAGGTAGACGTACGGGAAATGCATGTACGTCAAAAACAATATACAATGAACAACAAAAGATTAAGACAACAAACGATGCAGAAAGACCACAAATGCAAATAACAGTTCTAGAAATTGCATTTTAGTCTATGTACGCACCTAACAGTGCTAACAGGGTTACGGATGGTCATTTGGTTAAAAAATTTAATTTTAGGGTTAAAATTGTAAATTATCTATTTTACAGGGTTAGTTTGGTCAGAAACTCGCCAAAGTTCATATGAGGTGGTTTTGTTCCGTTTGTTTGAAACTCTATTCAGAACATAACAGGCCGTTAACATGGCCTCTCCCCAAAATCCCTCACTCAATCCTGAGTAAGAAAGCATCGAGCTTACCATTTCCTTTAAAACTCGATTTTTACGTTCGAAAACCCCTTTTTATTGAGGTGTATATGGTGTCATTGTCTCTTGAATAATACCAACTGATTGGAAGTATTGAGGATCCATATATTCCCTTCTCCGATCGGTTCTGAGGCACTTAATCGAATTACCCGGTTGTAATTCAACCTCGATTTTATAAATTTCAAATTTATCCAATGTTTCGTCTTTGGCATGCAAAAGATAGATGTAGCAAAACCGAGTGCTGTCATCAATAAATATGACAACATACCTTTTATTACCCAATGAAGGAGTGGAACGAAAATCAAATAGATCATTGTGTACAAGTTCCAAAATAGCCGATTTTCTTTCAACGTTTGGAAAAGGGTTGTTTTGTAACTTTCATAAGTATGAAAGTCTACATTTTTCTGCATAAATATCGAAGATTGGAATCAATTCATCATTTGACATTTCATGCATTCTTCTAAAATTTATATGACCCAATCTTGCAGGCCAAGTCATCAAGTCAATTTTAGAAGAAGATGATGACGATATAAATGCAGAATTTTTAGAATTTAAAATATTACTCATCACATTTAAACGAAACATTTTATTATGATAAAACCCAAAACCGACAAATCTACCATATCGAGATAGGATAAACTTATTTGATTCAAACACCTGTTTAAAACCTAAACAATTTAGAAGACCTCCACTAACAAGATTTTTCCTAATTCTTGGAACAAAATGAACATCAGACAACATAACATGATTTCCAGAAGTAAACTGAACTAACTACTCAAATCAAACAAATAGGTGTAATCGACTCGTTCCCCATGTTTAGCACATATTCATCTTCAACTAGTGTCAATTTCTCGAACCAGCGTCGATCTTGGCAAACATGGCATGTCGCTCCCGAGTCCACCCACTATGCACAATCATCATATTGTACATAGAAAGACTTGGGAATTAGTGAAACATAGTAAACATGGACGGATTTATCAAAGTCAAAGTTAGTCAAAACCTGACCTCTTTCACTTGAGCTTGGTCCTCAGACCTAGCTCCACATCCTCCACTTGGTCCAATTATACCAACACCGTTAAGTAAAACCTAGAAATCACGCTTGCAATGGCCTAATTTCTTGCATCTCCAACACACTAAATCCTTCTTATTTTTGAAGGATTTATTGGGTCCATCCAACTTTTGCTTGTTGCCTTTCTCGTTTTCATTATTGGGTTGCTCAATATCATGCTTTTCCCCCCATAAAATAATCAAAAGCAGTAAAAGTGGGGCCGTGAGAACTCACTAATTTGATGAATATCCAGAGGTTGCCCTTAGAAGCTTTCTAGGCTCGCCCGAACTTCCTGAACAGACCAATATCCAGCGCTAAATTACTTAAAAGGTTTCTTGCCCAANGACCAGCGCCTCTGGTCCTACATGGACACTTAACAAAATTAAGGGAAATCTACTTTCCATCGCCTCTGGTCTTCCTGACCAGCGCCTCTGGTCCTCTTGACCAGCGCCTCTGGTCCTACATGGACACTTAACAAAATTAAGGGATTTACTTTCCATCGCCTCTGGTCCTCTTGACCAGCGCCTCTGGTCCTACATGGACACTTAACAAAATTAAGGGAAATCTACTTTCCATCGACTCTGGTCGGCCTAGGCAATGGATATTCATAAAGTGCAACAAAACTCATGCTTTTCATAACAATTTCTTTTGCTGGAGGATACCGCTACTGAGCCTTACCTGACCAACTGCCCCATTAATTTTCGAACAACCAAAAGTAGCCCGTACACTACTTAGGTCCCACAGTTCGATATAGTAGTAATTCAGCGGTGGTCCAAATTCCACATTATTAGACCAAAAAAAACGTAGGTAATGTGCACCTCTTTCTAGGTGGGACTGTCAACACAATAGCGGCTATCCACAAAACCACGGCCCGAGGATGTACCCGAGTTAACAAGTAGCGTTTACGGACGAGGACGTTTATTTGGAAAAAAAATACTCTCAAGCACATCAATTTAACATTTATTCAAAGTGCAATAACAGTTAACAAATATAGCCTAGAAAAACCCGACTACGCAGTTCCTTAGTCCAGAGGTTTCAAGCAAAACATCGACTAAGCAGTTCCTTAGTCCAAAGATTTCAACCAAAAACTTGACTAAGCAGTTCCTTAGTCCAAAGGTTTTACATAAATAAACATGCAAAGTTTGCTCAATATCATGTTTTTCCCCCATAAAATAATCAAAAGYAGTAAAAGTGGGACCGTGAGAACTCACTAATTTGATGAATATCCAGAGGTTGCCCTTAGAAGCTTTCTAGGCTCGCCCGAACTTCCTGAACAGACCAATATCCAGCGCTAAATTACTTAAAGGTTTCTTGCCCAAGGTAAAGCAAAGTTGCTTTCAATGCAATGCCATCAAGGTTTTTGTAAAATAAAAGCCGATATTTTAATATTTACTTTTTAAAAGGAACCTTCCAAAATCCACCTAATGACGTCATCTTAAGTCATTCAAAACAATGATGACAGCCGCCAATTTCTAAAATCAAGAATTTTTTAGTGGGTTTGAGACTCTTCTTAAATACTCTACAACCTTGAGTCACACGTCCCCAAAACCGATTGCATGCACCAAAAGTGACATCAATGATGGGGAGGGTCTCAAGCTCATCATTTTCAAGAATTTAAACTCTAGCTTGAGTCATCATCTTCGAACAAGCTCCAGAAAATAAATTCCGATTCCAACGAGTTTTAAAGATAATAAATCTGATTAAAGATGCATGCAAGATCCTATCATACATAAAATATGATCTGACCTCACATGCAAGGATTCTCTCCTGCTTTCTTAGAGATTAAAGAACATGGATCATAGATTATCACCCTTCCGAAGACATTTGCAGGTCTTTGATGAATAATCTCCCCTCTTTAATTGACATAAATTTACTAAAGAATCGAGTAGGTGAAGGAGAATGTAAACTTTCGGATTTTTATGAAAATAGGACAGCTAAAAATCATACCTTTTCTTAGAATCTTAACAATCCTTAAGAGTAACAGAATCCTTTAAGACTTGCGAGAAGATAGAATCGGCTGGAAGGTGGTCGAGTTCAGAGGGAGATGACAGGTTAAGTTGGGAGTTGGAAATGAGAGTTTTCAAAGAAAGAGGGGTATTTATATGAAGGCTTTTTAGAGAAGAAATGAGCTGGCCTCTAAAGGCCCATGCCCTATAAATTATTATTTTTCTAAGTAATAAAACCCCTCTATAAATTATTTAAACAAAA